GAGACAAATCAAATGACACCATTTCCTTTTTCCTTAGACAGCAGGTTAAGGGAAAACCTCTGTAAGCAGTCTTTTAAGATGCTGCTCATCAGTGGTAGTGAAAGGGAATAGATGATCATGTCAATTAAGATTTAGTATCTCAGCATCAAACTACATGATGCATTTAGAAGAGGTGCTCCCTCACATTATGAAAGTCCACACATTTCCTGACCAACATATCCTGCAGTTTGGGTCTGTTGTTTTGTAATTCGATTCTGTGTTGATTTCAAAGTTCTAATGGTCACATACAAAGCCCTAAATGGGACCTCAATACTTGGCGGAACGCCTCCTCCCACATAGATCTACTCGTATCACTAGCCAGGAGGAGCCTAACGCCAAGGGAGGCCTGGAAAGAGAAAACAATACTCTGGGCCTTCTCTGCAGTGGCTCCCAGTCTCTGGAACAAGTTCCCCCCAGAGATTCGTCTGACCCCCTCACTGGGCATTTTCAAAAACCAACTCAAAACCTGGTTATATAGACAGGCCTTCCCTCCAGGCACTACGTAACTTCCTCTTTTTCTCTATCTTTATCTACTTTGTTTTGTGTAAATGCTGCAAATTGTTGTTTGATATTGTTTTTATTCTGCGTTTTGTGAGCTGCCCAGAGTAGACTATGTCTAGATGGGCGGCATATACTGTAAGCTCAATAAATAAAATAAATAAATAATTGGTCATTGAAAGATGGGAGACCTTGACATCTGAGCGTTCAGCCTGGAGCTTTCAGGCGGTGCAGCATGGCCTCTCCCAATTTGAAGAGACACTTGTCCAGCAGCCCGAGGCAAAAAAAGCAATCCCAAAATCAGCAAAATCAGGGAGCTAGACAGGGGACAGACTGTATTTGTCTTCACTATGGAAGGGATTGTCACCCTCTTATTGGCCTTCTCAGCCACACTAGATGCTGTTCTAAGACCTCTATTCCAAGACCTCTATAGCATAGTCTCTCGAGACTGAAGGATGCCTACACATTGAAATATATATCGTCCTCGTTTAGTCGTGTCCAACTCTTCGTGACCCCATGGACTTCCTACCTTCCACTGCCTCCCGGAGTTGTGTCAGATTCATGTTGGTTGCTTTGATGACACTATCCAACCATCTCATCCTCTGTCGTCCCCTTCTATTCAGTCACCCCTCCTAGCTAGTGAAATATATATACACAAATTTAATTTGCAAATCTGATTGGAGAGGCATGCATCTCTGAGGAAATTGCAGTGGGAAGTTAATCATAAGAGGGGATCTGCATTCCTCTTAATATCTAGTTTGATTTTTAGTGATGCACTATATTTATAAGGACAGCTTTAAGTTGCAGAAATTTCACTAAATTTCACAGTCTCAGTGATATAGGTCACCTTGACATTTTGAGGCAGCACCTTTGGAGGTGAGATTTCTTGCCTCCAGCATGGGAACAAGGCAGTGAGTTTTTTACCCATTGATATTTCTGCTTATGCATTAAAATATATCTGCACAACTGGTCTATCTTCCCTTTCTGAAGTTCACTGCGTATACACATACATGTGTATGCACCAGTGTATGTGGAAGGACTGGGCAGTTGATCAAAAAGCTTCAAAGAACCCTTCCACTGCTTCTCTTCTTCCGTTCTTTAAAAGTGTGAGTAACAAGGCAGCAGTTAGCTGGGGCAAAACCCAACCTCATAATTTTCACCAAACTCATTCTTATAAAGGTGAAACATCTTGTTGAGAGCAACGTCCGATCCCACCTTATCGGTGATGCTAATATTTCTTGATCTCAACAAAAGCTATTATCATTATCTAAGAGTGCAAATCATAGCTTTACGTGATCTACAAGGATGTAATAAAATATAACTAGATATCTTAACAGACAAGCCATGCACTTTGATCAATCAGGAGGAATGAAATGAAATGTGAGAAACTACTACTGTTGCCTTTTTTTGTAATTAAGAAGCAGTAATAGGGAATGGTTGACCTCTAACCTTCCCAGCAAAGCTTAGGTTCGCCTTTCAAATTCTCCTTTAAAAAGTCTATTTGCCATGTGGAGGATACTGGAAGGCAGGGTTCATTCTTGTGTGGAAGAAGGTATTTGGAGAGCGTTTGTGTAGTAGAGATTGTGTATAAAAATGGATGTGCATGCAAATTGATGCGTCTGTGTCTATGAAACTGAGACTGACCTGCCCACTTTTAACTGCACCTATATTTGACATGGGGCCCGTCCATACTTAGAACGTGACCACCAGGATGTTCACTGGGAAAACAAGTGGACTACAGACTTGTCAGGTTTATTTAATTTCTGCAGGTGAAGCCAAAAACATTTCCTCATAAAGCAGTCTTTCCTCCTCATGGCTCATACTCAGCACCCACATGGTTCTTGTGTGGCTTTTCTCTGGCTGCCATGTCAGGAGCTTTTATAAATGAGAAGGAAGATGCCATCTCGCCTATTCAAAGTGCAGCTGTTTGTTACAACTGTCTCAAGAGTTCTCTCTGGCTTAATGAGCTGCTAGTTGCTTGTTCTGGAAAGGCAGGCAATCATATGTGCCTTTATCTGTTCATTAATCTTAGCCATTCTCAAGCTGCTCCTCGCTGGCAGTTCTTTACCTCTGTGCTGCCTTACCTCTCCCTCAAATACCACTGGGTTGTGGAAAAAATAAAAAACAGAGAGTTCCTGGCTTCTTTCATATCTTTATCAAAGCTGATAACGAATCCTACACATTGGCAGCAAATCCTGAGAGAGTTTTTCCTCATAATTGGATGTTGGTTTGTTCTGCTTTTGCCCAGTGTCAGTTTTAGGAGCAAATAGCTTCAGAACCCTGATCTATAGACTAACAATCTATTTGTCACTGAGCACTTACTCCAGCAAAGTAAGTGGCACACTTAACTAAGGGTCCTTTCATAAATGGGGAATTTTATGTACCATGCTAAACCATGTGTTTGGGTTTAGAATGCATGAAAATAATAATCTTTCCAAAGACAGAATTTTTTTAATTTGTAACAGTTGTACGGTACTATGGACAAAAGAGGTATTTGAGGATCAATGGAACATAGATGTTTTAATAACTGAGGTAGTCTCTTTTTTCTATCTAAGCCAGTAATTATGAACTCTGGTTGGTAGCTGCTGTCTAAGGTACCAGCAGGATTGTTTTCCAAACCTTAATGGAGATTCCTGGTATTTCCTGGTGGGTGCTTTCACAACCAAATGTTAACCAGGAATGACCGAAGCTTGACATCCACAATCCGATGAGATCAGGTCTGATCAGTGTGCTGTGATGGACATGAGAATGGCTTCAAATCAAATTGGATAGCACCTCTGAGTTCATCAAATGCTTGTAAACAATAGTTTGCTTGCCATGGTAGTTGAGGAGAGATCCTCATAAATATGAGAATGCATTGGCAGCATGAAGCACTGGTGTGGGAAAGTGTGGCATGATTTGCCCATTGTAAATTATATAGAAGGATTTCCAAAAACACGAGTGATCAACTCAGTGGGACCGCCTCAACTGATGTCGACATGTTCTATTGTCCACTGATTATGAGACACTGCTGTCGATTACTTAGGAACAGGAACATCCAAACGGCAGCATCCAGATATCTAAACACTCATTCACTGGATTAGCTATTCAAGGGTGGAGCAATCAGCTGGCAAGGATTTCTGACTTCCCAGTTCTCCACCAATACTAACAACTAAAACACTTTCCCCCTGAATTGTGCTGCTGAAAAAAAGAATACTTGGAGTGGGTTCTTGTGTAAAAGGACACGTGAGCTTTCTTCTGGCACTAACTGCAAGTTCTTGGGCAAAACATATGCTTTGAGACAATCTGTTCTTTAATTCTTAGCTTTTGCTGACCTTTCGAAGTCAGCATTTTGCTTTCTTTTTTTCCTTTTCCTTTAAGGGCACTAAAACAATTTATACCATCCATGAATGTGTTAGATAGCTTTACCAACATCTGAATGGAGCAGTTGGTTTTTGTATGGACTAGAAACTTGCAAGCTCATTTTAAAAGCCAGTGTCTGAAACCAAGATGAACTTCACACTGAGACATCTTTTCCCAATTCATTAGATCCAACTCCTGTGTAAAGCCTATATATTACTTTTTATCACCAATAAAGATTTGTTTCCTAGAAAGTAAAGTTTGAATGATGGCGCATGAATTGACTTTAGCCTATTAAAAATTATTTGAGTTATATACGTATATAGGAGAGGTACAATATAGAGATAGAAAAAGAAGAGTGCTTTTAATGATGGGTTTGCTGTGTTTGATTTAACCGGAAAGCAAAGTTTCATAGAATTATGCAGGAGTTCCAAAAAACTAGAAATATGTGTGGGCTATTATCATGCGCAACCACTTGTTTGATTCCAATGATTACAGAGCATAGGTGTTGCTTCCAAAACTGGCAACAACTCATACTGTTGTCTCAATTAGGGCAGTAAACAGATTGTCCCATTTTTTGAAATTAAAAAAGAGGCTCATACAGTGCAACATTTCACAGTTGTACATGTTTATTCATCCAAGCAAGCTACATAATAATGCTGAGACATCTGTTGGAGAGACACTAGTACCTAACATTTGGCTGTATCCCCACAAATTTAGATTTCCAGTTTAAAACACACACATATAAGGAAAGATTGCTAGCAGTGAAGTGCCCTGACACACCATATGAAATGGCATACCCCTTCTCAAAAATGTTTATCTATATTTTACACACACGTATCATATAAAACAGAGTGTTCTTTAAAAATTATATTTTAAAAAGGATACAGATTTAAAATTGTTGTTTTCTGGCTTGGGACTGGTTCACACAACTTAACAGACCAACAATGTTGTACAAACCAGATCTCAGTTATCTTCTCCGTAGTTATAAAAATTCTGTATTATATTTACATACAAACAGTGCATGATCTGTATCATGTTGCTGATTGTAAAGAACAATACTATATATAGTTCAGTGGGGCTTATTCTCAGGTAAATGAATATAGGGCTGTTTCCCGTGGATGTTTTTTTTTTACAGACTGAAATGTTCCAACATAAGTCAAATCTTCAAACAATACATCTTCCAAGAAAAAGTCAGATGCCTGACTTTATTTTATAAATAAGTGTTTTAAAAAACCCAGAATTCTGTGAATTGGTCCCTAGACTGAAGTGAGTAGCAGTAAGGTCTAAATTCAAGGTTTCAATAAATGAAAATAACGAAATATAGGGCAGGATCCAGTGATGGAAACGTGCTAGCAAATGGTGGAATCAAGCAGAAATATGAGAGGTGTGATTCCTTCACCACTGTAGCATCTGCATATCCCCAAAACCTGCAAACCCCTCAAGATCTGGTTTTCACGCAGCATGGATAGGTGCAGAGGTGTGGGAGGGGGAAGAAAGCTCCTCTGTGACCCCCAAGGACAACATTGGATTTAATCCATGATCTTTTTTACTTCCATATCCTGATGAATACAGAGGCTTATTATTCCAGTGTCCTGAATGAATGAATACTCTATGGATCAGTGCTTAATATTTAACTCATCATAACTCAGCCCTTGGAAAAGTTGTATACTGTACAAGTACAAGAATCTCCCCCAAACCTAGCCATGGGCCATACTAGGCCAGGAGGTTTGGAGGCTGTAATGCAAAGAAGTAATTTGTAATAACCTTTCCAGTCATCAGGTTTATAAAGCAATTGGACTGCGAGTGCTCCATATATGCATGTACACGTGGACACACGAAGACTTAAGATGTATTTTGTTTATATTGTCTATTTCTTTTGGAACAATGATGCAGAAGAGGGGAGGAAATCCAAAACTCCTTGTGCAACATATTTGGAATTGATTCTTGTGAGTGAGTACCAAAAAGACAGCATGTTCTTCATTTAGTAGGGCTCTGTATAAAAAAAGAGTTTGCTAGCAAATATTAGAATAAATGGGGGGGGGGGGAATCACCGCCTTATGGCAAAAGAGATTTTTTAAAAAATCAAACACCATCAACCCTCTATCTTCCATGTTGATATTGCAGGCAGCATTCATAGTTTAATTAAAACAGAACTTCAACTTTATATTAATGCAGCGATGCACTAATTAAAATCAACATCGACTGAACTTTCTATTTACACTCTTTCAGACAGCTCAAGAGGCAAGGAACTCTGCTTCAGAGGCATATGTGAATGCTAGAGCTTCTGTCATCCAGGTGCCATTTCTGACAGAACACATGTGCCTTGAACAGTTGGCAATGAATGAAAAAGATGAGTACTGGTACTACAACACATGCACACACACAGTGGAGTGAGGATTATGCTGAAAATAAACTTCCACCAAAAGATAAAAATGAGAAAAATCAAAAGCTCCTTCTGAACAGACATTTGCTGTGATTTTTGTTTGTTCGTTTAGCAATGCTGAAATTACAAATTATTAAAGCATCTTTATTTTTCCTCTGGTACTTCTTGCTAACTTGGAAGACTCCAGCTCACAGATTCAGACAGCCTTTTATAAAGCTGAAATTCTCCATGCTCTATTCAAATATCAATAGAAGGTATAGGGGAGCACAAAGCATGGGAGATGGAGCTAGTTCTTGTCTTCTTGTGGTAGGGAGGACGACAACCCATTCTGTTTTATTACATTCAATCTGAAAAGATGGGGATTAAAACTTTCTGGTTCTGGCTTCTCTCTCAATAACTGCACATGAGTGCAATTTAATTTCATATTAGGAAATAAGTATATAATGGTTTTTCAGGAAATAGCAATTTTTTTTTGTTTCTGCCTTTGTTTCCATTTAGAGACCAAGCATTCCTTCCTAATGGAAATGGAAAAGTCCATGACTCAAGATGGCTTTTACAGATTGGCATATTACAAATACAAGGGGGATTACCTCCCTAAAGGAAGCCACAGGATTGTGTTTACAAGAGCTGAGCAGGACAGCTGAGGACAGGACCTTTTGAGATCACTCATCTATGAGGTCACCATAAGTCAGAGGTGACTTGGCATAACAACAACAAACAAACAAATTACAGCAACAAACCCTAAATATTGTTTGCTTGTCTGGCTGCCAGGTATTTGCACCTGCAGAGATGTAGTAAATTTACATTTTAAACCCTGTACATCCCTATGTGGGAGTAAGCCCTCCTGAAATAATGGGTCTTTCTTCTGAACAGAGAGATGTGGAATTGTTCTATCACTGTCACCTTCCATGTCAACATCTTGCAGATTCTTTTGAGTTTGGACTCTGAGTTGGTCTTCATATGTGTCAGTTAATCTCAGCAAGCATGTTTGAGCAAAGCATTTTGAAATCTCATCACTTCCAGAAGAATTTAAGTACTCGCTCATAGAATTCGAAACAGAAATACATCCTTTCTTTGCATCTAGTCCAATGGTGACAAGGGGACCCTTGGTGCATAGTACAGTCAATTCGTAGCTCATCCATTTGTATACATGTTTCACTTTATAAAGCAAAGCATAGTGTGCAATTTTTATTCCAGACAACACAGAATATGGTCCGGACAAAGAGAAGCTTATTTTCATTCTCAATGATCTTAAATGAAATTTATCCATGTATCTGAATCATTCCCTCTGCAATCAGTTGAATTTAAAAGAGAATTTAAAAGTGTTTATAATGGATATATGCCCACAAAGACCACGGACAGCATCAGATGGCTTCTATCTCTTGTCATCCTTTTACACAGCAAATTACTCCAGCTCAAGAATGTTATCAAGGAAATCAGGATCTATCCACTAACACCAATGGTAATAAATGTAGAAAATTTTCTTTTGGAATAAAGTTATGTTCAATTTCAGAAAAAAGTGAAAAGGCTCAACATGAGCCACTGAACTAGTCTGCAGCTTAGATGAAGCACATGAAAATCCATCAGGTTCGTTGAAATAGTCTCATGAATATAATTCACCTCTCATTTACAGGAATCAGCTGTAGTTGCGTCCATCTCAGTGGTCAGAGTCTGTTTGCAATATGACTGGTCAAAGTAATGCTTTTGTGGCAGCAAACATGGGCGGCGGGGGGTGAAGACTCCTGCTAGTTTTCATCTTGATCCAGCTCAAGGTCAAGATCTTCAGACAGGTTAAGATAAAAGAAGGCGTAACAGGCCAATAAAAATATCAATATAGCTGCAAGGACAAGACTGACTTCCTGTAGCAAAGACAGAATGGTTTAAAAGTTAGATATAACAATATTTCAACGTAATTAAGAACCAGTAATGTTTTTCATTCTTAAATCCACCCTAACATTAACACTAGGCCACACAATACAGTGGTGCTTTGCTAGACAATGATAATCCGTTCCAATGAAATCGCTGTTTAGCGAAATCATTGTCTAGCGAAAAGCATTTGCCCCATTGGAATGCATTGAAACCTGTTTAATGCGTTCCAATGGGAAAGAATCGTCGTTGTCTAGCGAAGATTGGCCATAGGAAAGCTGCTTTGTGAACTGCCGATCAGCTTTGTGTTTTAGCATTGCAATAGCTACTGTATTTTTATATCTTTTTTTATCTTGTTGTGAACCGCCTCTAGTTTTAATTGTGGGAGAAAAATGAAATATAAGCCCAATCCATTCATACATCCGTCAGTCAGTAAATGACCCCAGGTGAATATTAGGCTTCAGAAGAGAAATTGCAATGTAAGAGAATTGTCTTTCATTTGTTCATGATTCTGAAGGAGGATAGAGTTCACAGAACCTGTCAGATGCACACTATCCCAGGCTATATTTGCAAACTCCTTCGGAAATTTTACTTGGGGGGGGGGGCTACAGCTGCTGGAATCTAGTTCTCAAAATGACGTCTCTAAGCTCAATTTTCCCCACCTTTAAGAAGCTTGTCTTACTGCATTTTAAAAAAAAATGACAAATGAAAGGGAGATTGGGAGCAAATCTTCAGAAGGCAAATGGAACAGGTGAAGTATGTTGGGCAGCCATGACTCAACCAGGTAGAGATCATGGGACATCTTTGCTTACGCATCTGCATCCATGCGTTCTTCTATAATATTAGAAACACTGGAATTAACACAAAGAGTAACTTTAAACGTGAGCATCTCAATTGTTCTTTGTTTGACAGGGGATACTCTCCCACTGGAGATAAAGTCTGTATCTCTTGTGGTCATGTATTTATAATTATGTAATGTGAACCTATGTATTTCTTCAAAATGGATGTAATGATTTTCACAGGGCATGTCCTCTTTCTCTGCATAAACAGTTAGGCAAGTATTCATGCCAGAGAGAATATAAAACAGAATCAACAGAAGTCCATGAAAGAGTTAACATTCTTCTGTCAACTCCATTAAAAAAAATAAAAAATAAAAATCAGCTCCTTGATCTGGCAAGCTTCACTGGAACACACTTCATTTGCATTTACATGAATCTGTTTTATATTTTATCAGTATTTTAGATTCATAATTCAGTATATGCCACCTCATACACTTTTCAAATATTATAGCTTCTCTGAGCAAAGATGTCTCTGTGGGTTACCATTTTGCAGGTAGTCCCATTTTCCTTTCTCACACAAATAATTTGACTCATAATAGCTTGAAAAAGACAATTTAAACGGATGGGATCCTTCCATTCCCAATCCCAATTTGTTTAAGGGAATATAAGAAGAATGTTTTAACCTTTACTATCTTTCTTTGGTTTCATCTAATGGAGTTAAACACATCACATTTCTCAAATCTACGAGGACGAGGAACTTCTGAATAGAAAAAGATGGAGCAACATTTTAAAAAACTTTTTTTTTCCTTGCACCGACTACAGCCATGCTTCCAACCACATCTCAGCACCCATCTACTCCCCTTAAGAGGATGTGATATCCGAGTGACAACTGCTGGCTTTGCCTCTGCTAGAACAGACAACAAAGTCCTACCGTATGGATGGGGAACTTGGGTGGATTCCAGGTGTCAACTTTCTCCAACCACAAGCCTCCAGAGGTCACACAGACAGGAACCCCCCCCCCCAAAAAAAGAACAAAATGAAAAGCACCAGAGGTGTACTTTGGTTTTGAAAAACTGGTGCTTTATTTTGTTTTGTGTTTCGTTTTGTTTGTGTTCAACAATGAGGAGAGGCAGTGACCTGTTTAAAAAATGAACTAACACTTTTTGAGGCTTGCATGTACAGCATATTACTTTTGGTGGTGATACATCAAACAAACAAACAAACAAAAGCAAATGAACAAAAAAGCCTGTGACTCCAGGGCAACTGTAGGCCATTTTATAATGATAATCTTAGAACTGCAGAGTTTGAAGGGACCCTTCAGATCACCAAGTCCCTCCCCTGTCAAGGAGGCACAGTGGGGAATCATGCTCCCAACTTCTGGCTACCTAAACTATGGAGCTATTCAGTTTTTGTTAGTGGGATATCTTTCATTAGTAGAACTAGGAGGGGATAATCTGCTTCTGTCTCAACTACAACGGTATCCTCAGAGATGCTCTGGAAAGCTGAAACACACTAGTGCATGTCAGAATATAGAAATTTTATAGGCCTGAACCTGGATAAATGTATTATTAACAAGCTGCCAATGGGCACAGATGTGTGTATGCTGAGTCACTCTGACTACTGAGAAGATGATGCAATGTCTGGAAATAAGAAGACACCCAGGTGCAGAAGATGAAGTCATGTGTCTTCTGATTGGACTAGAGATGCCATGTGTATGTATATAAGTGAACAGTGTCTATGTATCATTCTCTTCTCTCTCCACCATATGCTGCTATACTCTTTGCCGGTTTGTGTAATGATGTCCTGCCATGCTGATGTGGTCCCTGCCTGTACGTACTTGTAAATACTGTAAATACAACCGTCTTGCAAAAGAAGAACTTGTAAATGTCTTCAATAACTCTGCGTTTTTCCTGTCGCCAAATCCTTGACAGTGCAGTGGTCAGGGAACAGGGGTAAATTACCCCAAATGGGGTAAAAATGAAAATCCTGGGGGTAATGAGGACATGACCCTAACCCCCTTTCCCCCCTCTTCCTCTTCTGCCCGGCGGGGGGTCCCCGGCTGTCTGATCGCCCCCTTCTCTGGCCCGGTTGCAACCGAGCCATGGCGGATGGCGGCCAGCAACAGGCCCCGGGCTGGCAGCGTATGGCAATCAAGGCAGCGGCTGTAAATAGATTAAGCCATGGTGGAGCCTCTCCTTCCAGTGCTGGAGGGGTGGATCACGGTGAAGGGGGGCAAGCATGGCCACGACAGCAGCCTGGGCCAGGCTCAGCCTTCTGGTCTTGGGACACTGCCCCATCCCCGTCCTAGCCCATTGGGCATCAGTGACGCTCACCCAGCTGCATGGCTGCCTTTGGCAGTGCCTCCACGCTCGCTGGATGGGCCTGGCGGAGCCTCTCGACCTCCATGCAGCAGCTGTCATGGTGCTTCGACGATGAGGCCCGTGGGAGCCCTGACTCTGAGGTCTGATGCGACTGCCATGGTGAGCAGCTGCCGGAGCTGGTGCTGGAGTGGGAGGTGGCATCAGGTACCCCCGATGGGTGAGCCACCTGCTGCTCTTTGATGGCCGGTTGCAACCGAGCCATGGCGGATGGCGGCCAGCAACAGGCCCCGGGCTGGCAGCGTATGGCAATCAAGGCAGCGGCTGTAAATAGATTAAGCCATGGTGGAGCCTCTCCTTCCAGTGCTGGAGGGGTGGATCACGGTGAAGGGGGGCAAGTATGGCCACGACATCAGCCTGGGCCAGGCTCAGCCTTCTGGTGTTGGGACACTGCCCCATCTCCGTCCTAGCCCATTGGGCAGCAGTGATGCTCACCCAGCTGCATGGCTTCCTTTGGCAGTGCCTCCACGCTGGCCGGATGGGCCTGGCGGAGCCTCTCTACCTCCATGTAGCAGCTGTCATGGTGCTTCGACAGTGAGGCCCACGATGGGTGGTAAGGCTTCAGCGATGGCACTTGACTGGCCGCACATGACCAAGATCCTTCCTTTCAAATCAAGGGGGTCATGTCGGCGTATAAAAAATTTTGTGGGGGTAAAAGGTAAAAAAGTTCCCTGACCCCTGCACTAGTGCATGGTTTACAGGAGATTTTCAGGCAGAGCACAGAGGGCTGCAGTACGAAGGGGTACAGTAAAGAATGAAAGTTAACACAGTGCTGAATTAGACCACCATTTTGGCACTGCCGGAAGGAAGGAAGGAAGGAAGGAAGGGGATGGGCCTGGCGGAGCCTCTCTACCTCCATGTAGCAGCTGTCATGGTGCTTCGACAGTGAGGCCCACGGGAGCCCTGACTCTGAGGTCTGATGCGACTGCCTGGTTGCAGAGCCGGCCGCCACCTGTCTACGTCTACCTGTGTGTATTTCTCTAGAAAATTTTCCAGAATGAATACTTCCTGTTGCAGCCAATCCTTCATAATAGTCATTTGTCAGAATACAGAAACATAGGCAGCTGATTTAAACCAATTAGACCTTTCTTTCATCCTTCTAACCCGGTCCTGTCAACTCTGACTGGAACCTTCAAAGATTCAGGCAGGATTCCTTCACAGCTCTAGCTGGAGGTCGCCTGGTGTTCTCTTGAGGTCTCTAATCCAAGTACTAACCAGGGGTGACCTCTTTCGGGAGGTCCATATGAGATTTGGTCAGTTGCTTAGGCCATAGACTACAATGTTGGATAAGCTTGTCAGAAAGACAGCTTGCCTGCCTTTGTTTGCTTCCTCCTCTGCTATCCAATACTTTGGCCATCTCATGAGAAGAGAAGAGTCCCTGGAAAAGACCCTGGTGTTGGGAAAGTGCAAAGGCAAGAGGAGAAGGGGACGACAGAGGATGAGATGGTTGGACAGTGTCATCGAAGCTACGAACATGAATCTGACCAAACTCCGGGAGGCAGTGGAAGACAGGAGGGCTTGGCATGCTCTGGTCCATGAGGTCACGAAGAGTTGGACACAACTAAATGACTAAACAACAACAATGCTATAGAACTGTGTAGAATTACTGCTAAGAGCTTTCTGTGCTACTTGTTTCAGTTAAATGGACTGACAGTGAAGCTCTGTTGGCCTGGCCAACCTGGCGTGTGAACCAATTGGTCCCCATCAAATATACCATAGAACCATCTGCAACCTGAGCTGCTTCCCAGCTTAGTGAATGTGCAATGTGTTTCTTGAAAAGAAGTGCCTTACCACAGGAGAAGAATCCCGCAATTAGTATTACAATAATGGATGGAA